AAGCTTAATATCTGGCACACAATAGCGTCTCAATAAATATTTTTTATTAGTGAGTCAGAGAGGTAAGCATAGAGGATAATATCTACATTGGGTGCCTTTGTTGGGGGACAGAAGAGTATTTTTGGAATGTCAATGGCATTGGGAACCAAGAGAAACAAAGGAGAATCGAGGAAGAGACTCCACACACCACTGCTACAGGAAACTAACACCCAGCACAGAGACAAACCAAAGACAACCAGGACACTGAGAGTAAAGATAATGGTGAAGTACCTGAGAGTCAAAGACATGCAGAACAAAGAAATGAGCCGAGCTGAGTTAATCAATATAGATGTCTCAGAGGGACAAGTATTCATTAATAATTAAAAGAGCAGTCTACATCCTTTTTCTTATTCCCAACACTTCATTCAATGTTGCAAGCATTTATTGAAGGCCTTCCATGTGCCCATTGCTCTGATTGGCACTGTGGTGAATACCAAGTAAATACAGGGTGGTGATTTTGCCCAGATGGTGCTTGCTGTCTGGTTGGGGAGATAATGCTGATTCTCATGAAACTGTCAGAGAACAATGAAAAGTAGGGAAGACAATGCATGGTTATACTCTCACTCTCTATCCAACAGAGGAGCAGGATGGCCTTCCCTGGAGTCATGTGAACTGTCTGGCTCCTTGATTTTCAAAAGAGGAATTCAACCCAGTCCCTAAAGTTTATATACTTATCAGTGAGTAAAATCTCTGAACTATTGCTCCTTATCACTCATCAAGACCTCAATAGAGAAGGGCAACATTTAGGAAGGATTGCCTAAAGGATGGCAATACACCTTTCCTTCTGATAATCTAAAGTCTTACTCCCAGACTAAAGTAGACCAGCGGAGAGCTGCATCCCTAAATGCTTTATTTTCCACCTCCCACTAATCTCTGCTCACCCCACAACATCCTTCATAGAATTGTTATTGCTCAACAGTGCTTTGGCATTCTACCATTGGTTTACACTGAGGAGGATTACAAGAAGCAACATTATGAAACTCTCAGAGGAAAACTTTCTCTCACATCTCAGTGCTAGGAATAACTATACTTCTGTCACATAAGAAATGACATTTTCCTAAAAGCTTTCTGAGGATATAACTGACATATAATAAAATCACATATATTTAAGTGCACAAGTTGATATGTTTTGACATATTTATACACCCATCAAACCATCTCCACAGTCATGATATGAATATGTTCGACCCTTTCAAAAGTTTCTTCATGCCCCATCGCAATTTCTTTCTTCCACCTGGCCCTGCACTCGTCATTTCCAAGCAAGCTCTGATCAGATTTCTGTGACTACAGATCGGTTTGCCTTTTCTAGAGTTTTACATAAATGAAATCACAAATGATGTACTCTTTTTGGCCTAGTTTCTTCATTCAACATAATTATTTTGAGATTCATCCATGTTTTGGGATCAACAGCTCATTCTTTCTTCCTCCCGAGTGGTATATCACTTGTTTATACATTAACCTATTGATGGAAATTTGGGTTGTTTCCAGCTTTTGGTTATTACAAATAAATCCTCCATGAACATTTGCATACAACTTTTTGTGTGCTTTCACTTCTTTTGGGTAAATATTTAGGTGTGGAATGGCTTGCTTATATGAAGGTGTATGATTAACTTTTTAAGAAACTAAGGATCGACTTTCTCCTGTTTATATGACATCTAGTGAGCTAATAGCAAATTCATAACTCAATTCTAGGAAGTGTACATTTCTTCACAGAATGCTTTTGAAGTACTCCCCTGGTTTCTGATTTCACCTTATTTTTTTAATTCTACAATTGTCTTTGTTTAATCTATCTCATCCTAATTTGGCGCATATTGTGTAAGACACAGTAAAGCCTTTCTGGAACAAGGCCTGGAGCTCTGAGCATGCAAAAAACAGCAGGAGGGATTGTTGAATGGGAAATGCCCTGGGTCAAGACTAGAGAGCTGTGTTAGCATCCACAGTCTGCTACTAAAGACTTGCATGAGCTGGTGCCAAATTCTTTCATCATCTCTCTGGTTTTCAACTTCATCAATAACCAGTAGGGCTGAGCCAAATGAGCTCTATGATGGGTTCAGCTCCCTATTCTGTGCCTATTTCTTCAAGGACTTTCTGCTTCTTGTGGCTTATTTGCTTACAAAGAACCAAAAAGATTGTGGTGAATGCTCCTTCTAAACTATTGCTACCAAGAGATCTTGACTAAATTGATTCTGACCAAATATAAGCACATTCACTTGGTTGCCATGGCAAACACCAGTCAGAATAGGTAGCAAGTTTCTAAATTCAGAACTATAACCCCAGATCCAAAAGAAGCCAAGGAGATAGGTTTCTGTTTCTTTTGTTCACACAGAAATTTCCAGCAGAGAGCAGACATGTATGTGCTCATCAGGGAAAATGAAGACACAGGGAGGAGCCACTTATTGAAGGGATCATTGAGTGGCCAATATTCACCTTCCCCCAAGGGTGAGGAACCAAGAGATCAAATGATATCTGCTCCCAAAATCCAGTATGCTCTCTGCCCCATCTTTCTTTCTGGTGAATGCTCATCATAGCTTTGAACCATATATGAGCATCCAGCATCTATCTAGAAAATATCACCTGAGGTTGCAGTTTCTCACACAGGGCTGCCGGTTCCCTCTCTGGGGAGGATCTCCCAAAGAAGGGAAAGGCTTAGCAGCGTCTACGGTGTTATTAGAAGGCAGTCCCCAATAACATGGAGGTTTGCAAACCAGGCACGTGTACTAAAAACATTAACCCAACTGCCTGACAAGGTGCCTGAAATTGCACTCTTAAAGACTCATAAAACCTCTTCCCTTTGAATCACAGGTAATTTTTGACGTCATGAACTTCTAAGAAAGTTCATTACCTGAGTCTTTTATCATTTACATTTTAAGGGAGACTTGCGGGAGAAGATGTCACCGGACTTGGAACCCAGACAAATGGAGAGGGAATGATTAGAGGCAGTCCAAAGGCAAAAAGGAAGGGTCCCGAAAGGTGGGAAGGTGGCTAAGTTCGGCTTTGTCCATGTCCCAATTGTGCTCCAGTCAACAATATGACTTCTTTTGGGTAAGCAGGGCCTGACCGCCTCTCTGATTTCCTAGCACTTCTCTGGACTGCCTTCTGAGGCAACAGAATTTTTATAGAGCGCCCCCTAGTGATCAGAGAGCGTATAACGGACTTCTCCACCTCTTTTCAAGACAGTCTGCACAGGCTGGAACAGCGCAATCACCTTTTATTTGAAGTGGGGTGGGAACCTGCGGTGGTGGAGCTGGGAGCTCAAAACTATTGTTCTTTCGTTACACTAGTATAGCAGTTCTCAAAATGCAGTTCCCAGATCGGCAGCAACAGCATCGCCCAGGAACTTAGAAATGCAAATTATGTGGTGCTACCCTAGACCTACCGAATCCAGAATTCCACAGGTAGAACCCAGCTTAAAGTCCGAAACTACTGCTGTAGACCTCAGTTCAAAGGATAGTTGCTTTGGGGATAGGGCTCAGGGCAAGCCCTCCAGAGTACAGGAGAAGACGCAGTTACCTACTTCGGCCACACGGTGGCACAACAACCCTGATATCCCGATCTATGAGCCTTAAAGATCAGTGCTGTATTCGCATTACTGAAGAAAAAGGCCTGCGACCAGAAATTGGTAGGCTCCTGAAAGTTTCAGGAGAATTAGAAAGCCAAGGTAAAAGTATTTGTAAACAATAGCTTTAAGCCAATTCCAAAGACAGCACAAGAATGTGGAGCTGGCCCAAATAATTCATCTAGAAAGAGAAATGCTAGCTTCCACCAACCACAACTTTAAAAATAACTTTCTTTTTCCAGTGAAAAGGCAATTTATAGAAGGGAATAGTTGGCTCACAAGAAAAGACATGGGCAGCGCCAAACTCCAGGAAGTGAGTCCAGTGGAATGTGGTAATAATTTCCAACTCCAGTAGGAAGTCTGGAAAAGTCAGATTTTTCAGGGGGGGAACTGAGTAGAGGATGGTGTTTCCACCCATATCTTACCACTTCTGACACATCTTCAACCAGGAAACACAAGGGGCTAAGAGGAAGTTGGGCCATTAACACTGACGATCACCACCACTCTTACTGTGAGTGTGACTTTCACCCTGAGTTCTGTGAAAGAGGAAAGCGTTGTTTGCTTTTCAAATTTCTGCTCACCCAGACTCCCACCACCTCCTGTCCTGATGAACAAATTGGGCAGGAAATTTCACCAGCGAGGAAAGGTAGAGGGCAAATCTAATGAAAATCCCATCCCCTGTATCCCCAAAGTTCAGAATGTCCTGGCAGCTTAATTGAAAGCTGAAGATTTGGGGGAAGGGAGGAGAGAGCAAGTTGCTGGGCTGATGCAAATGAGGGCACCTGAGCTGCACAGGTCAGAAGGTCACTTTGGGGGTAGAAACATAAGGGGGGGACCAACTCAAAAGGGAACCACCTTCTTCTCCCTCCTTAACGTCACTCATGAGGTAGACCAGAGGCTCCAATGAGCCACTAGGAATGGGGGTGAAACCCCTAGAAAATAGGATGAGGCAAGTTAAATGAGAAAACTTTAAAAGGGTTTTTTCACCCACCCTGCACCACCTGTCATCCTTATGCTTCATATCTTCTGCTCCCAGATAATTCCCTGGGGACACAAGCACCCAGGGATTAGCTGTCTGATGCTCTCTGGGATTTCCCACACTTTAGGCGGCGTGGGAGAGACTCTGAGGCGGAAAGAGGCCCGACTCCCAGAAACCCCACTTAGTGACCTTGCAACCCCAGGTATTTGCCTGAGAACGAGTAGATTCCTGGAAATGGTGACTATGGAAAACCAACTTGAGCTCCCCTTTCCACTCCCACTCTAGTGTGGCCCCAAATCTTGGCTTGATGATTCCCCCTGAGGAGGGGTGGAACCTGGGAGAGGTGAAGCCAGGGTTTAGGCTCCTGGAAATGGGTGGCCTCTGCTTAGTCTCAGCTAAGAACCTCAAGCTTCGTCCCGGGTCTGGTCAGGCCTCAGATGTCACTCCCAGCCGCCTGTCCATCCCGTGCAGCTTCTGGCGCGTGACGAGGTTGCTCTTCTGACTGAAGCTCTTGCCACAGTTACAGCAAGAGGACGCTCTCCCGTTGCGCCCTCTGGTGGATGACGAGGGGCGAGCTCTGGCTGAAGCTCCTCCGCAAACCCCGCGCTTGCAGGGCTTCTCGCCGGTGTGAGGGCGCCGGTGCTTGACCAGGTCCTGGCCAACACGGAGACGCTTGCAGCAGTCACGGCACCGGTAGAGCTGCTCGCCGGTGTGCACGCGCTGGTGCACGAGCAGCGACGAGCGGTGGCTGAAACCGCGGCCACAGTCGGAGCAGCTGAATGGCTGTTCGCCGGTGTGGACGCCCTGGCGCATGGCCAGGTTCGAGCTGCGATTGAAGCTCCAGGTGCACTGGGGACACACGATGGACCGCTCACCGGTGCGTGCGACCTGGTGACGCCCACAGTCCCAGCTGAGGCCAAAGCGCTTCCCGCACAGAGCACACCAGAAAGGCCGTTCTCCCTTCTGTCTGCGCAGGTGGCGCGTCAGGTCTGACCTCCAACTCAGGCGCTGGTTGCACTGTGAACAGTGGAAAGGCTTCTCGCCGCTGTGCCTGCGCTTGTGGAGGTTAAAGATGGAGCGGTAGCTGAAGCCCAAATCTAAATCTCCTTCACCTTGAAATGACATCTTTCTCAGGACATGCTGATAGAGCTCAGGAAATGCACAGCTCCAGCACATGGTACATTCCATAAATGCTTGCTAAATGAGCACAGCAAGAATTAGAACACAATGAGATCTGGATGTTAGGGCTGTGATATTGACAGATGTGTCTCTTTTAAAGGACTCGTAGATAGCTATATGTTGTGTATAAACCCAGCAGATGAGGAACCATATGGGATACCATGGGGACTGATGCAGAATGACAATTCCAGGATGAGGAAGTATACATGGCAAATACATTTGAGAGCAGGGACTAATGATGAGTACAACAAAAGACAAAAGAGTGTGGTTGGCAAAGTTGAATTTCCCCAAAATTAACAATTGGATGAGTACATTGGTAAGAGGAAGTATGACAAAGGAAAAGGAAATAAAGAGTAAGTTTCATTTCCCTCTCATCCAATCCCTTGCCCATATATTGAAACCCTCCCTTCTGCTTCAATACTAAGCATTGGACCCAGCCCTCTCACCTGCAGGAAAGATTGGACTAAGCCCCAGATCAGGAGGTCTTGGGTCATAGAGAATAAATACGTGGCTCCTTACCTTGCTCCAGCTGTGAGATCAGTTCAGGTTTAGGAAAGAGGAATCCTATTGGATCAATTAGAAGATCAAAAATTTTTTACTAAACTGTCCACAGCTATTTTGCCCTATAGTCTCCATACCATGACACTCTAAAAAACAAAATTTGGATAGTCATTCTTCAACTCGTCGAATCCTACTTTTCGAACTACCACCCCTCCACCACCTTACGTCCACCTCCCCTATATCCTACATACATGTGATCCGTTTTACTCTCAAAATTCTAGAATGGGTGCCCGTGGCTCACAAAACAGTGTCACAGATGATGGCTTCAAAGGTAGGCTTAGGCCATATAGTTCACTCAACATGGCTAAGACCAAGTTTTGTAACCACCTCCATCATCTTATATTGCCCTGACCTAATCAGGCAGACTGCTGTATTTATATCATCGAGTAAGTCCAGCTCCCTTTCAGTCTTTGCTTTCATACTTCTTCCTGCCTCAAATGCATTCATTGCTTCTCCTCTCTCCATAGTTAATTATTTCTATTCATCTTACACAACCGCCCTCCCCCATGAAGTCATCCTTGACCAACCCACTCCACATAACACTTATTCTCTAAGCTAGTTCTTCTCAAACTATCTATGGAGAAGGACCAGGAGTTTGTTTGGTTTTGTTCTTTTGGTCAATGAGATGAGTTCGCTGGCCATAGGCTTGGATGAAGTAGCCATGTCAAATTGCTATAAAAGTTCTAAATGCTGTTTCTTAATTTGCATACTTACCCATCAGAAACTGGTAACAAACAGTTCACAGACTGGCATTGGTCCATAGACAACACTTTGAGTAGCACTGCTCTAGAACACTCATTTGACATTGAGCATAGTCAGCCTTCTGTGTTCAGCTGGTGATTTTTCTGTATGGACCTCTCGTCTTGCCAGCCAGAAAGTAACCTCCAGTTGGGCAGAGGCCATGTCTTATCCATGAACGCCCCACCCCAAACTGTAATGTGATGTGTGTGCTGTGGGATGGTAGACCATAGAGGATTATGGGGGAAGTTTGGGATTTGAAGAAAACAAAAATGTGATGGAAAGCAACTAGATCCTTCTACTATAACCTTGCTATCAATATAAGAAAGATAATATTGGACTGTTAAACCAAGGATCTGATCAAAGTTGTTATGATTCTCAGCTTCCTTGATCCACACAGCCTCTACCTACTCATAGCGCCCACTAAGAGTCCTGCCCATAATGCGAGTAAGATGACTACCTAAGGACTGACTGTCCTGAAATCTCCAGCTCCGCAACTAGGATCATGGTGCCCATTCCCAGGCCTTTGTACTTTACACAGTCCATTAGTGTAGCTGCATTTCCCATCACATCCTGTTGGACTATTTAGGGAAAAAAATGTGTATATAATAAAACTGTAATGGAGAGAAAAGAGTGTTATATGCATTTGGGTAACAGTAGAGGTTGAACACTTCATGGCTAAGAAGAGAGTGAGAGAGAGAGAAAAGAGAGGAAAATGTGGAGAAGAAATGAGAAAAGAAGGAGGAAGAACTTAATAGAGGGAAGGAGGAAGGAAAGGAGATACAGGCAAAAAGAATAAAAGGGATTAGTGTTAAAGAAGAAATGTAAGTGAAACCCTTCTCGGTTTTGTAAAACAGCTGGTGACAACTTGTTTCTGCTAATGAATTTATGGGCTCTACTCTGAGTGACAAATTTTACTAAGTCTCCCCAAAAACTTTTGTTATAATGATTTTTACGTGGCTTTCTGAATATCTTTAACAAATTAAGGAATATTGTTGCTTTAAAAGAGTCTAGATTTCTAGAAAGAGTTATATGGAGCTATTACTTATTGTTCTAATTACCCCCAAACCTTCAGTTTCCAGAAAGTTCTCTGAGTGTAAATCTGACCAAAAACATACTGCGTTATCAGACCACTCCAACATCAATCAGTAGCCCCTGATTTGGGGTCAGAGAATCAGTGGGGATGCTCTCAATGAGGAGGGCTGAAAATCATGTACAGCTAATGAAGAAGAATTCTGAAAAAGTGTTGATTAGTGTTTGCCTTCTAAGACTAATACTATTGAAATTTGATCATCTATTGCCATCATTCCTGCCATTTTTATCATCACTGCCATTTCTATTGATGTTTTAATAAAGAGGATCCTTGAATTCAGCTTTATTATAACCAATATTATCTTTGTTGTCATCAGAGTTACCGTACAAATTATGTCAATACTAGCCCCATCAGTACCATCACTATAAGTAAGAGAGTGGAAACTTGTTTTATGTAGTTTCTCCTCTTTTTACTCCTGATTTTTCAGGATGTCTTGTGTATTTTTATATTTGTGCTATGTTTTAGAATTTCTGGGGAGATTCTGATACATATGGCTGAGAACTGGAGGATAGTTAAAAGTAGGAGGATTTTAAAAAATACTGTGTTTTGTAATAGAACAAAAATATTTTCTGTATGTTTTATTCATTAATTTTGTTCTGCAAAAATAAAATGGTCTATGCTTCATTCAATGAATGATTTGTTCTTTCAGATATGGATTGTCACAGGGTGATGTAGAAAAGAATTTGCTGCAATGCATTATAAAGATAATGCACTCTAACTAGTTCAGTCACTATGATAGTCCTGCTTCTCTTTCTATATACATCATATATTTTGTCAAAACAGAGACTATGCGTTCTGTTTATTTAAACCACTTCTTGTAGTTCATGTTATTGTGCATTGTGGATTATATGGTCTGGTTAAATAACTGATGATTAATTCTATTCCAGAGAACTATATGCATGGATTAGCTGAAGCTCTTACTTAGTAAGAGCACCCCTGAGCCTCTCAAACTGGATTGTCTTTTCAGCATCTGCATCTGACCTATGGTCAGCCCAGACTTTCTTCCTGAATCATTTAGAAGTTCATACGTTCTTTCCAATTCTATCTAATGACTTCTTATAGCACATGTTCAGAAAATTATTTTCAAGTGAATGACTTCGTAATTTCACTTTTTGCAGTTTCATTTACCCTCAGTCAACCGTGGTACAAAAATAATATTATTGGATAATAAACAATTGGATAATAAACAATCCAGAAACAAACTACTCATAAGTTTTAAAGTATGCACTGTTCCCACTCAATCCCACCCAGGACATAAATCATTCCTTCGTCCAGCGTATCCATACTGTATACACTACCCTGAGTACAATGCATACCATAAGATATTTGAGAGAGACAGAGATCACGTTCACATAACTTTTATTGCAATATATTGTTATAATTGTTCTATTTTATTACTAGCTATTGTTGTTAATAGCTTACTGTGCCTAATTTATAAATTAAGCTTTATCTTAGGTATGTATGTATAGGAAAAAACATAGTATGTTTAGGGTTCAGTACTATCCATGGTATCAGGCATCCACTGGGGGGTCTTGGAACGTATCCCCTGTGGATAAGGTAGACTATTTTATTCACTGGGTAATCCAAGTTGATATGTCCTCTGATACTAGAAGCAGTCTCTCCTATTTCCTATTATCTTGTGAATACAAACATTTTTCTCTTTCTCTGAATGTCCATCCTTCAGCTGGATACTGGATGCCACTGACAATGGTGTATCTAAGGGATGCCAGCCTCAGTGTGCTATAGAGATGAACAGAGGTCAAAAATCCAGCAAGGGATCAGGAACCCAGTGACAGTAAAAATAATCTAGGGCATCAGTAGCAGGTTAAGATGTAATAGCAAGTTCATTCAGTGCAACGTTAGAGGATACATTTTAGGATTTCTGAGGACAGGAACTGAAGCCAAGATTTCGCTGGCCTGGGAATAACAAATGAAGATAAGGGAAAGCATATGGATACAGAGAAGATTTTCCCCAAAAGAACTGGTTTCTGAGAAGGAATGCAAGAACTCCCTTTCTGGGGTTTTAGGGTGAGAACGGTTATAAATACATATTTTCAACTGATATTAATAGTTTATGATACCTTGACCCAAGGCAGAGACAGGCTTATGTCTTTTGAACAAGGAAAAGCTATGTATATATATGTGTGTGGATGTCTGTGCATCTTGCTACTTTGGGTAGCTTTATAAAGTACTGCAGTTGCTACCTGGGCTTTTGGAACAAAGACGTGACGATAACTATCACAAAGCACTTCTCATACCTGTCCAACATTGTCACCACCACTAATCTCCCCACCCTCACTTTTCTCATCATCGTTCAATATCATTTAATCCAATTCTGAAAGTCTATATTGAGCACCTACCACAAAGGAGGACTTGTGAGAAACATTAAAGAGGATGAGCAGCCTTCACCAATGAAAAATTTATATACATGTGCATAATTTCTTATAATAACAGGCTAATAAGTTATTTGCCATAAGAACAGCATTTTTCAAAATACGAAACACTTCTACTTCAGGACAGTATCAACTAGCTGATACTGGACTATCCTCCCCTCATGAATAAATATAAAACAAGACAAAATATATGAGTCAATTGTTTATTCACT